CACAGCATGTCATGATCTCTGCTCTCTGCCACCTGCCAGCGCTCTCGGCCACGCCCTCTTCTCCTTTTTTAGAGTTGAGATCAACATGCTGCAAGAGGGAGCTTCTCCCTGCACATGTGGACTGCACACAGGTGCAGATGTGTGCAGGAATGCAAACTGTTTTAAATAATTTTTAATATTTTATTTTAAATTCCAAAATCCATGCTGATCTTGTGTCTCATCCATGTCCAATCTTGCTTTGAAAAACAGCTAAAAAGCACGTCCACGAATATCGAACAACCAAGTAGCGAGGGACTACTGTACATGTAAATGTGACATTTCTGCCTGGAGTAACTCGAGGCTGCTTCTGTTTGGGTTTTGCAAGTACTTACAAAACAGAGTTTGATGTGTAATGGAAAACTGACACCGATGCAAAGATCAATAAATAGTTTGCATAATCTTTTTTTGGACATTTTTGTGACCAGAACTGTCTGATTCATTTTTGCCATGTTCAGATTATTTGTCAGCTTATCAATCCTGTCGTACAAAAACTGTATTCCTCCAAACTGAGGTTCTTCAAAAAGCTATAGAACAGGTAAGATATTAAATGTTTTTTTCTCAGATAACACCTCTTCAAACTGACTCAAATGCATCTTCAATAAACAAAAGTTGATTTACGAAGCACAGCTGGAGCAAAGCTGAAGCAGTACTGCTATTATGGTGGCTGCTGAGTCTTACTGCCATCAAGCAAACTTTTCAAATAAATCTTTCAACAAGGTGAAAATAGTCTAAAACATTTGTTAAAATCAAGCAGCCAGAACACCCAGAGCAAAACTGCTTTCAAAAAGCATTTTTAAACAGAAAAGCCTCAAGAGGAAACAATTGACTGGATGAACTATACAGTGCATGTGCAGCAACACTCAGTCCTATTCAAATTTAGTAAAGTTTGTGGTTTTATTGTTTTTGAGTCTCTAATTTAGGCATAAATTTAACAGGAGGATATGATGTTAAGAATGTGTGTAGGAATCGATTCATTTTTCCCTCAGTATTTTCCCAATTGATACATTCCTATTGTTCTTCCTCACAGTAGCAGTAGTGATGTGTTACTCTGAACACAAATAAAGTTATTTAAAAATAACAATTTTCTGTTTTTCAGTGGTAGCATGTTGACAGAATAGAAGCATTTCTTTGCAGAGGAATCAATCAGGTTAAAGGGTCAATTGATCGTTTTTTTTTTCCTCAAACCTTACAGACGTGAATGAGCTGCCTCCGTGCACATCGCAGAACAAAAGCCTGCGTCGTTTCCTGAAGTCGCACATATCCACCACAAGAAAGTACACAGAGAATAAAAGTAAGAAAGTGTTGTGATGGTGGTGGTGGAGGGGACATGTCTGACAGGCAGATGAGAAGTGCTCTGTTCCCACAGAGGCTGACAGCAGAGCTGCTTCTCTGATGTTTCCATCAGTAAAAACATGAAAACACCTGGAGTCTTGAACTAAAACCGTTCGGTGTTGATGTGTGAGCTGGACAACTGAGCAGCAGCAACGCTTTTCACCTTAAATAAATCCTCACACTCTTTAATGTAAAGCCTGATCTGAACTTGACAACTTTCTTTCTGCGCATGCATGTTTGTTTCTGTCTGTTTGAAGGTGGGATGTATTTGACCTCCCATCAGGTCACCTGTCTGTGTCTCCACTCAGACACCAGTAAAAAGATGTCAAACCACTGTTCTCTGTTGGCACAGGCCTCGATGGTAACTTTAGTCTTTTTAAGTGCTGCTCAGCTGTAAAGGCTTCCTCTCACAAGTGCGTGTTTGAGTTTGATGTGTGGTGTGCGTACCACGGGCGGCTTGCAGACACTTGGACAGAGGATGGAGAGGCTGAGCTCTAACTTGAGGCCACTTTACAGCCGTTCAGCAGGCTGGCCTTGGTTCTGGAGAGCAGAAAGCTGTCATTCTGTCATTCTTTCAGGCTGTGATGTGGCCTGTTTTAGCCCAGGCTGCAGCTGAATGCAGAGACAGAAATACATATGTAAAGAAGCCATGTGAACACCTGTCCCACACTGGCCAAGGCCACCGGGCAGCAGAAACAACAACAAAGTGCTGAGAGCCTCAGAAAATAAAGTAAAGGTCTCAACAAACAAAAAGAAGGGATTTATGTGCTAAATAGAATAAAAACAATTAAATGTTTTACTTCTTTTAACGCTGGTGAGCAAATTATGAACTTACTTGCTATTAAAAGAAATAATCAGTGAGTTTAAACAGCCCAACTACAACACGTGTTAAAGTTAACATATAAGTCCAAGAAAATTTAATTCAAAAACACTCTTTTTTTAGGTGATTGAAATATATATACATTATATATATATAT